ATAACTCTACTGAGACTGCAAGATATTTCTCATGTGTAAGCAAAGTTGATCCTTCAGACTTCTGCATCCAAAATACCAGAACTGCCAGGTACGATTTTGAACAACTGTCTGTTAAATGATTAGCTATCATTAGTTTTTTTTTCTCTGGCAAATCTCTAATGATTGTTACGTGTTTATTTGCCAAAACACATTTGCAGTTTTTAACAAAGATATTTTTTGAATTTTCATTCTCCCCACTTTCCTCCAAAGGGGAAAAACAAAATACTTAAAATGAAAAGTGACAGCATCTAGCTGGAGCAACTTATGGAACTGTAGTCATATATTCAGTCTTGAATATAATGGCAGTTCTGGCAAATGTATGAAAAAAAACCCCATGAAATATTCATTTCCATAGGCAGGTTTTCTGGGGTACTCATGAAGCTGAGGAGTGGAGATACTCAAAAGGACAAAATTAACTGTAAAGAAAGCACAACCTTTCCTTCACCAACAGTCTTGGTAGCCACAGGGCACTACTACACACTTCAAAGGGCTGCTATTATTGTCAGCTTTTAAGTGTATTGATTTCTGACAGCAGAAAGAACAACACACTAAGCAGTGACATTTCTAAAGGCCATGCAAAATCCCACTTTTGTTTTAACACTGGATACTAATTAAATATCACATCACTCAAGTAAGATTAAGTATTTTACTAGCTAAATCAAGACAACCAATGCTTGTTTAGGACAGAAGCTTGTATCGTAACTTGGAAAGTTCCAAAGTCTTGTCCATCTGTTGTTCAGATGGATATGGATATTTTTCAGTTCTTATGTTCCTCCTCCCCTGCTCAATTTACCCACATTGACCAAAGGAAGGTAAAAGCCCTTGGGGCTACCCTGTAGTTGGAAACCCTCCAAAGCTCTAAACCTCCTGCTGTTTTCAGGATTACACCAGATGACTCCATGCAATGGAGACATCCCCAGTGCGATGTCGATGTGCAAGTCTCACGTTGAGATTCTGATAACTTGAGAGGTCCAGATGCTGGTACTCACTGACCTGGCTCAAAAGTGAAAGCTGCTGGAGGTTGCAGACTTCTTGGAAACCTTTCCTGGGCATTCAGTTTTGCATTAGCCCTTATTTGGGTCAGACTATAAGGGTTTCACCCTTCAAGCAAGCAAAATTCGCTTTGCTTGCACCCCACTAGGAGCAGAAGCACCTTTAGTGACTGATCGGACACGAAGACCAGACTTTACTGCAACCGGTTGCTTGGCCTTGTCCTGTTCCACCAGATGCTGAGCCAGCAGCCGAAGGCCACCACCTCCCCCTACCCCAGTGACAATGCTACTGCACACAAACCTCATATGGGGCTTGGGAGTGCTTGACCTGACCCAGGCCTCCTCTAGCTTCTGAAAATATGTGAAAGGCTTCTTTGCCAGCCTGCACTGGCAACGATGGACTTTTCTGCCAAGGTGCAGCACATCCTGAATCATTACTGACTTCTGCTCTCACACAGCTGATTAGCTGAGACTGTTACACATACAGTCAGTGGCACTGAAGATCCACATTAAAAGTAAGCTCAAATCATAGATCAAAGTAGCACCTCCTTATTGCAGACTACGAACACTTCCAAGCATCTGTACAAGTTCTTATTGTTCCTTAATGCCATTAATCTTTACATATAAGCCAATTCATCTCCCAATTTCCCTCCTAAAGTATAGCTGCGAACAAGAAAGCGAAAGAAAAAAAATATTTTAGGACTATACAAAACCCTACAGTACCTTCCATGGTTCATTTCACTACTTTATAAAGAAATCAAAGAACTAAAACCTGCCTGCATTAGGAGTCTCTATATCCTGTTGCTGCAAGAATGAAACCTGTAATATACTTTATGTTGCTGTATAACAAAGAAATGTTGCATTTCCAGAATCCTTATTGCTTGCAGTCATGGGTGAAGCATAAAGATAGCAGCTGGGTATTCAAATATTGTACGAGGTTGGCAGTTATTAAAATGTTATTTTCATTTATAAACTAAGAGCATTCTATGTGGAAGTGTTAATGAAACTTCCAATTTTATCATTTCTTACCACGTAATTCCAAAGAATCTGAGATGCCTCTTTCAAGTGAATGTCTGAGAGTCAAACTTGCATTTGAAAGAAATAATCTTCTTGCTTAAAATTGCAATCTAAACTCATCCCAAAATGTTTAGAAATGAGAAAAAAACCCAGGAAGTTAAGATACCTGGTAACACCCAAATTTTCCATCCCCAGTTCTGCTGGTGCTAAAAAATAGTAATGTGTTTGCATCTCTTTCACCACTGATGCAGAACTTCATTTTTCCAAAGAAGGAGAACACTGGAGAATTGCATTTAAATGGGTCTGATAGAAGTGGGTTGAACAAGCTCAGACATATACACATATAAAACTAGATGCCTTTTTTCTTTTTATAATTGAGGTCTTAGGTTTGCTTTTCTCCTCCCAAACATTTACTTTAAATTCAATTACTTTTGCTGATCCTAGAACCACAGGCAGATTTGTACAATGTTAGCTAATGATGACACTGGCTTTGGTTTGCAAAGCTAACTGAATATTAAGTACACACACAGCAGATAAAAATAGTTGCATGAAACACAGCAATACCACTCCTGTACTTAACATTTCCATTCTCTGCTTTAAAAGGTTCATGCTTTGTTCCACATAAAACTTTGCACCAAGAGCAAGATACATGATCTTTTGCCTCTGTGAATTTATCAATAGTCTGTTCTTAGCCGGACAGTATGTTTAAAACACATATTTAGCTGAAGACATCTGAAGAACAGAATTAATCTTTTGTTTCAGAATGCAGGTCTATTCTTCATTGATAGTCATCGCTACTAGTGGGAGGTATAATTTTAACGAGGACAACACAGATACATAGGTTCTGAACACACATTAGCTACGTAAGGTCAAACCCTTCGGTTTCCTGGGACTCAACTACATCCACAAATGTGCATGAAAATCTACAAACTCTTTCGTCCCATTTCCACCAGGAATTTCATGTGATAGCTAACATCAATTATGAATGGACACCATAATGGTAAGACTTGTATGAGTGTGTGTTATTCTTATTTGAGGCAAAGTTTGCCAGCAGAAGCTCCACCTTTTATTACAAAAATACATTTGGAAAAACAAAACCAGAAAAACCCGCCCTCATTAAACCGTCAGATACACAAGACCTTCATCAGGTCAACTATCAGTTGGTCTAATGAAAGATACAACTCCCAGTAAATCTTGTTTTGCTTATCTCCTTGGAGCAAACCTCTTTAGTTGCTGATATCAAATTTATTTTATGAAACACTATTGCTCAGTACTATTAGATCCTGCTTCTGCCAGCGCCAGGCTTCACGATGGCCTTTCTGGGTCTCGGTAGCCATGTTTCCTGGGGTATACCCTCTGATCAGTGTATCGCACAGAAGAGTCTCAGATACATTAATAAAGTGAGTTGGCTTTGTGGGTTTTTTTAAACCAAAAATGATTTTTGGAACTGCAGTAGCTATAGGCTTTCCAGTTGTGCACAGGGCAGGTACTTTCACAGCTTTTTTGCAAGTAGTGTCATTTACAAGCAGTCAGCAGCATAACTGGGTAGCCCTGTAGTATGGCATTGCCATGCTAGCAAAAGGCCATAAGCTTTGAACAGAGTTTGCAAAGCCATTGAGGCCCACCAGGCTTGCTCCTG